TTAGTTAATGTGAAGACTAAAATACCTCAAAATATTGAGGACATAAGGAGTCCATGTAATATTTCTTAGAGATGTTCATTATTTTGGGTGTAACTAATTGGTACCATTCTGTTCTTAATTTTACAAAGGCATGAATTTGAATGGAGAAGACCTTGAAGTTCCTAGGTTTTCCTGAAAGTCACTTATCTGGGGACTGCTCATCCCCCCACACCTATTTCATTTAAGCTTTTTTGTGATTCTTCTGCCCTGTGAACAGTGACCATCTTATGAGATTAATAAGTAAAGTCAAAAAGAGCAGTGCGTGGTTTAATCTTATATATTTCTTAAAAGGTCTGATGAGGTCATTTAAATGTTTTAGTTATTTGTCATATCATGTGTTCTTTTTTTTTTTTTTTCCGGTACGCGGGCCTCTCACTGTTGTGGCCTCTCCCGTTGCGGAGGACAGGCTCCGGACGCACAGGCTCAGCGGCCATGGCTCACGGGCCCAGCCGCTCTGCAGCATGTGGGATCTTCCCGGACCGGGGCATGAACCCGTGTCCCCTGCATCGGCAGGCGGACTCTCAACCACTGCGCCACCAGGGAAGCCCTATCATGTGTTCTTGAAGGTCCTGATGTGTCCATTGAGAATGTCAGGAGTCTGTTGTACAAGATAAGCTGACTTCAGAACATCCATAAATAGTGGAACAGTGGTAGAAATTTATTTAAAACCATGGCTCTGGTAGTTTGAGGTAGATGAGTGATAATCTTAGAAGGACTCAGTAAATGTTAATTATCTTGTGCCATTCATAACTTGAAGACGTTCTGAAGAGTATTTAACCTTTAACTCCATTAAGTAAGCATGTTGTTTGTGCTCAGGAATATTCTGTTTCATTTTTTTATTTGGCTGCGTTGGGTCTTAGTTGCAGCACGCAGGATCTTTCGTTGGGAGTGCGGGCTTCTCTCTAGTTGTGGCGCACAGAGTCTAGAGCATGTGGGCTCAGTAGTTGTGGCACGCTGGCTTAGTTGCTCTGCGGCATGTGGGATCTTAGTTCCCCAACCTGGGATTGAACCTGCGTCCCCTGCATTGGAAGGCAGATTCTTAACCACTGGACACCAGGGAAGTCCCCAGGAATATTCTGTTTCTTAAAGGATAATCACTTGTTAAACTTTCCAGGTCTGGAACTTTTAAAGGAGGTGATTCTCTGCAAATTTTTCAGTTTCTTCATGGTCATTGGTCTAGGTTTAATGTTTCTGGCTGAGTCAATTTTGATCCTTCGTTTAATTAAAATTTAAAAATCTTTATTCCTTTCATTTTCCTTTTAAATATATTGACTTGATATAATGGGACTTATTTCTGGACTTGGTGCTTAGTTAATGTTTGTGCTCTTTGTTTTTTAATATTATTTTATTTTCAATAACCTCCCCCCCTTTAGACTTGCCCTTTTTAAAAAAATATTTTTTTAATTTTATTTATATTTTTTCGTTTTATCGTGAGATTTTTATTTTTTTATTTTTTGGCCACACTGCACTTGCAGGATCTTGGTCCCCGACCAGGGATTGAACCCATGCCCTCGGGAGTGAGAGCACAGAGTCCTAACCACTGGCCAGCAGGGGAATTCCCTCTTTTTTAATTTTTTAGATTTTTTTTTTTTAATTAAAAAAAAATTTTGGGGGGCTGTGCTACACGGCACGTGGGATCTTAGCTCCCCAACCAGGGATTGAACCCACACCCCTTACATTGGAAGCGTGGAGTCCTAACCACTGGCCCTCCAAGGAAGTCCTTATTTTAAAATTTTATTGAAATACAGTCGATTTACAATGCTGTGTTAGTTTCAGGTATAAAAATTATTTTTTTAATTGTGGTAAAATATATATGTAACATAAAATTTGCCTTTTTAACCATTTTTAAGTATAGAATTCAGTGAGAACTGCCAGGTTTTAACTACTCTTTACTGTTTAACAATTCTCTTTTATATGTCATTAACTTTTTCATATTTTAAAGTAACTTGTCCTTGTTTTCTTTTGGGCCTTTCTGAATTGGTTCTAATCTTTAGCCAAAGTTTTTTTTTTCTTTCCCTTCCTTCAAAATAATACTGGTGGTTAAAGCCGTGAACTTAACAACTAAAGTGTTGAGATACACTGTTCTCAGTTTTGTTGTTACTCGAAATCTGTTCACTCAGCAAATGTTCATTTAGTACTTACTGTTTGCTAGTTACTACAGCTGTTACTGAGAATTCAATGATGATCTCTGTTCTCTAGTATTAATTATTGGTGGGACTGTAATTACAGATTTTATTCTTTGTTACAGTATTTATCTGAGAGAACTTTGAATATTGAAGTGAATTGGATTTTGAAGTATATGGTTTCAACTTTATGAATTTTATATTTCATCGTTTTTTTTTTTGTTTTTAAGTGAATATGGCCTCTACAGCTTGTGCCTTTTGAAATGTAGGTTTTTGTTTGTTTGTTTTGTTGGTAGAATATTGTTTGATTGGTTTGTATTTCTGGAGCTTAACAAAAGAAGTATTCAGTGGAGTTTAAATCTTGACATAAATCCAACCGTTAAGCCTTATTTAAATTTGTCATTTATGTTTTTGTTTACTTGGTTTGTTACATATTGATAGGTACCCTGTATGACTGTTGGTAAATTCTGTTAATTTTTATCTGGAGACTTTAATGGTTTTTGCATTATGTATTTCAACATGTTTATATTGATACAGAAAATAAACATGTCTTCATTAAAACTTTACCTCCTATTAACAGAGTAATCTTTGTTACTTATATTTTTTCTGATTTTAATATTGCTACCCATGCATTTATTTTATTTGCAGTTACCTGCTTTATTTTGCCCATTTAAAATTTTTGTCATTTTATGGTAACACATAGCTGCTATTTGACTTAATGATTACTATGTGCTGGATTCTCTATTAAGTACTTTACTTGTAATATCTCATTTGATTCTATGGCAACCCTCTGAGTGGATTTTTTAAAAATCCTCCAGTTACAGATGAGGAGACTGAGGCTTGGAGGTCTTAATGACTTGCTTAAGGGTCAACAGTGAGTAGCCTTCAGTCACTGTTGTACTGTATTTTATTTTGCATGTATATTTTCTAAGCAGCTTTAGAGTTCAGTGTTGTTTTAAAAAATAAACTTAATATTTTTTAACACCTATGGGGTGTCAGTTTCTCAGAAGAAAAAAAAAGGAGTTCTACAAAGGTTGAGTGACTTCTCAAAGTTAGGTAGCTTGGTAGGAGATAGAGTTGGGATTCAAATCCAGGCATTCTGACTCCAGAGTCCCAGGCTCTTCATACCAAAAGACTGTCTTCCTGCCATTTCTTCTTTAGTTGACACCGATGCTTCATCTGTTTGTGCTGGTCGGCCCTTGACAGTGGATGGTGCTGAGGGAGACACTGAAGGCATTCTGTTAGTCTGCCCCCATTGATTTATTCCATTACATTCTTCACAGGTTTTTAGGTATATTTTATTTAGAAGCATGTGTATGTAGAAAAACAAAAACATAGCTGACTGAATTTTTTGGGGGGAGTTCTGGGGTGATGTTTTATTAATTTTTCTTCATTCTGTTTCATGAGGAATTCAGAGGGTTGGAAAAAATTTATCAGCATTAATGTTACTATTCTTGGAAGACGTGTTAACATTTTAGAAGGAAGTTTAGTTTAGAAATACATATATATATATATATATATATATATATATATTTTTTTTTTTTTTTTTTTTTT